GAACCACTCTCAAATTTGTTCATTTCATGATGATATCTTCAATTTTCTAATTTTGGTGAATATTTTTGTCATTTTTCGTAAAAAGTGATATTTTCAACTTCTTGTTAAAAAACCGCAAGTCTAATTGCTTTGATATTACATATATAGGTACTACATGCGGACCTCTCTCAGATTTGTTCATTTTGTAATGATATCTTTAATTCTCTAATTTTGGTGAATATAAGTGATAATTTCTTCTTGTTAAAAACCACACTCATTTATGGTTAAAAATTATATTTTTGAATTCTTGTTGAAAACAGCAAGTCCCGTTGCATTGATACTATGCATATTGTTCATTTTCTAATGATATCTTCTGTTCTTTAATTGAAATGTGCTTTGCTAACAGCGGAGCTATCTCAGCCGAGAGGCTGCTTGTTTTACTTTTTCGCAACTTCACAAACCAAGTTGCGATGTTCACCCCTGTCTATTAGCCCTAAAGATTGCGTACTCGGTAATCTGAACGTAACATATGGCCACTTTCCTGTTAGCGATTCGCAAGTAGCTATTGTCTTTTTGCTGAGGCCGTTGGTGGTCGTTATACAAAGGTTAAAGTGTGAATAGGTCTACAATAGGGTGGTCGCTGGTCGCGTTGGACAGGTGGTCGCTATATCCAGTGTCTTTAACGTTGTAATTGCGAAGGGACTGTACTAAGGTGGTCGCTATGAGCAGGTGGCTGCTCTGCACAGGTGGTCGTTAACACAGGTTCGACTGTATGTGCTTCTAATAAATCAAATATTGTTGAATGAAGCTGAAAATGCTCTCTCATTGTCTTTGTTGAACCATATTTACATATTTTCATCATCACAGAACCCACCAAAGAACCTCTTAGCAAACAGAAACCACATCTAAAAATTATTGAAAAGGGAAAACCTGATGATGCACTTCCTGGACTCAAAGGAGTTAAGGTAATTATATATAAATACTCTCGTTACTGTGTATTAATACTTAATTTTTATATTTATTTTGTTACAGTAGAAATGCTTAATGTATCAATGATCCTCAATTTCATGCTAGAAATGCATAATGAATGTCATGGTCAGAGAGAAATAAATCACACAAATAAACTGGCTCCACTTTGTGTCATGTCTGTCACATGAGTGTAAGTAATTATTTGGCACTAATGTTGACAGTCACACAAATCTGGATGGGGACTTGTTGTTTTCATGAAACTTTAAGTGCAATACTAGTACAGTGTTTTCTCCAGACCTTCCCAGCATGGATAGAATGTGACCAAGAAAACAACTTATTGTGCATATTTCACAGGTTGCAGCTTCAGAACTTGTACAATGTATGCAATTTAAAACTTTTTTTGGCAAAAACCAAAGTGGCAGGTGGAATGTGAGGGGACATGATTGTTTGTTACATACAAAAAAAATAAGGGAATTGTTTCATTTTCAATGTTTTAACCTATTGCACATATTTTATCACAAATTCTCCTAATGATGTTTTGTGTTCTCAGGAAAGGCTACCTTCTGTTCCATTGTCAGGAATGGTCAATAAAAGTGGTGGAAAGGTTCGGCTAACATTTAAATTAGAACAAGATCAACTCTGGTTAGGCACAAAAGGTGAGTTCAGTTTTGACCGGTAAAGGCACTATGAGAAGTATTCCTTTATGACTGAATTGTGTGCACCTTGATTTCTTTTTTTTGTTTTCCCGAATCCTAAATCTATGGCGTTATGAATCAAGACGAAATGATGATAAACAAAAATTACACATTTACTAAAAAGCTAAATTTATTAAATGCAATTTTTCTATAAGGCAGCAACAGAAATCATTATATAAAATAAACAAGTTACGTTTCTATAGCACCGCTGTCGATC